CCTACAGCCCAACAGGTTCAACCAGTATTAGTCAGGCTCCACACGACAGAGCAGCACCGCCAGCTCCCCTGTGACGATTCCCTTCCCTCTCCTTTTCCAATATCAGGTGGGATTCAAGCCTTACACTCATTTCCTCCAGCCCATTTCATTTAGCAGTTTTTCCCAGACACTTCTCTCTGCTTTTGACTGATGTCTCCAAGATGAAGACAGAAAGAAAAAGTCCTAATTTTTGTTTCCTTTTTTTATTTTCCCCACCCATTGCACAAACTGACTTGCAGAGTCCTGCAGTAGCCACGGTATCTCTGGAGCTGGGCTCTCACACGAAGCTGAGCCACCAGCTCCTACCTTTGTTGGAGCAAGAACATACCTGGGCAGGATGAGGAACCTCTGCTTCAGCTCGGTTTGTGAAGTGCCACAGAGGGAAACACAGCCCCATGGACCAGAAAGTTGCAGTCTGGGGCTGAAAAACACCTGAACAACCTCTTCTGAAGGATCCTTCTTTCATGTCCTTCCAGCCAGATACACGGGAAAGCCGTGCCCTTTAAACTCTTCTCCTGAAATAAATAAATAAATAACATAAACCAAGCCCCTGGGGACTGAAATGAGCTTTAAATATTTGAGCAGGATCCCGAATTGGGGGTGTTTGCAGGCAGGGCACCCTCACGCCCGCAGAAGGGGAGCTCCCTGTCAGAAAGCATCACCATCAGGTGGGACACAGGTGCCTCCTTCATCTCGCTCCACCGTGAGAGCCCCCAGGGGTTCGGTTCCATTCCCCCGGTGGGAGCTCCCATCCCCACATCCAGCCAGGACCTCCAGGTCGGGGGATGCTCCTGGAGACCTTCGGTGCCAACCCCTCAGCGTGGTCAAACCACTGGCCCGAGTGCCTGCAGTCCCTCGGGCTGGTGCGATGCCACCGTGGATTGGGGTGGAAAAACACCACCAGCCCCAGCAGCAATTAACCGTGGAGGGTGATAACATCTTAAATAATTCTACCTGCTGACAAAGGGGTTGTGCAGTTGCAATACCTCAGCATGTGTCTGAGCCAGAGCTCCACAACACGCCATGGCTTAAGCAGATTTTTCACCTGTGAGCTGGGGGTGCCTCGTCTCCCTGCCCAATTTTAGTTTTCCACCCTCAGCACCAGTCCCCCAAGAGCAATAAATGTCGAGACAGTGCATTGCAGGAGGGAAGGGAAGCACTGGGAGAGGAGCACCCTCAATTTGGTTACCTGCCTTGCTGCAAGGGGAGCCAAACCGTGCCAAAACAAAGCCAGATACCATTTCCTTATATTCCTTTAAAAAAGATTATATGTTAAAGAGAAGAAGAAAAAGCGCAGCCTCTTCTGAGTGCTGTGGGAGATGCTGGAGGGGCCAGATACCTGGGACAAACCCAGTCCGTGGGGACAGAGCCACCTTCCCCACTGGCTCCCAACACCCGGGAGCTCTCGGGATGGGTGCTGGTGCCCGCACTCCCCTGGAGAGCAAAGTCCTCCCGGTGCGGCTCGGCACTTTGCACAAGGAAGAAAGAGATGTGCCGGCGGGGTGACGTGGCCGTCCCACCCACTCCCGACCCCGTTCCCCTCTCGCCCTGCAGGGCTGCACAGATCATCCATCTTGCCAGGAGATGTGGAAAGCACCGTGGGTCCCATCTCACAGGGCTTCGCTCTCTCTCTCCATGTAAACACGCACAGGTTCTCCCATGGCCACGGGGAGCTGCTGGTGACAAGGACAGATTCCCCTCCTGGCCAGGTTGTCCCAGGAAGGCTGAAGGGCTGCCCCCCCTCTTTCCCTCCTCTACTCTTAATTTCACACACAGCAGAAAACGTGGAAGATGACCCTTCCCTTCCCTTCCCTTCCCTTCCCTTCCCTTCCCTCTGTTGGAGGCACTTGGCAAAGCCGCAGAACGACGTTGGCTTGGCTGGTAACAACCCTCAGAAATTGCTGGCTGCCTTTCCTGCCAGGACGCAGCTGGATTATCCCCCAGGACCAACTTTATTTGAGAGCGACCCACAGCAACGCTGTTGGCGAGCACAAAGGGACCCAGACCTGCTACACCCAGCCAAGGCAGCTCTTCTTCCCCTGGAAATGAAGCAATCGAAAAACCCAGAAAACAGACACAAGGAGAGCTGTCAGACCTGGCTCTCGCATAACAACCTGCTCGCTCACTCTTCTTGTAAAAAGAGAGTTATACCCTGCTCTGAGCCGTGGTCCCAGATGGATCAAGCCTTTGTGAAGGGAAAAAGCACTCAGTGATCTGGTTCTGATTTCCAGTGGCTGAGCATCCCAGCACAAATCCCATCAGGACGGCAGAGGCTGGAGCAATCGTACTCTAGGAAATATCTCCTTAGAAGGGACAAGGCTTTAGGAGTGGGGAGGCAGGAGGGCTCTGCGGTTTGGAGGAACATTCAGAGCACACTTCGGTGGTTTCCTCTTCGGGAGGGAGAGGGTACTTGTTCTTAAGGGCTTTTAAAATACTTACAGACATTCCCATAACCATTGACACCAAACCCTGGTGCAGCAGCACTATTACACACGGGGAGCAGAAGCACTCAGCTCCCAGGGCTGTGTTTGCCAGGCAGTGAGGTGTGGGGAAAGGATTTCTCTGTCCAACCCTTTCAGGAAGGCAGAGCTCCTCTGAGGTTCACAGAAGGGTTTCTGAAGGTTTCACGTGGGGGAATCAGAGCGATGGAGAGCAAACAAGGGTCCTGCCCAAGGCAGGGGGGAAGAGGGCTGCGTTCAAGTGGGAAAACTGTGGAGCAGCCTCCCTGCTTTCCTGGAAGCTCATGCTTTGCCCCTTTTCCTCACCCTGGCTGTAACAAACTCACCTCTGGCCCCATCCCATCTGCTCTCAAAGCCCGGGACGCTCCCATCCCCTGCCTCTTGCATCCGATCTCCTCTGCAGCGCCCAGGCATCACCCCAAGAACGAGGCAGGTTACGCACAGCCCAGCTTCATTTTCCCTTTTTAGGTCTGATGGGGTTTTCCCCTCCTCGCAAGAAATAGTTTAACGCTTTCCAGAGCTTCTGCTAATGCCTCCTTTCCTCCTCCTGCCCGTTTGTGACACCCTTTGGGGACTGTCACATCCTTCCTGGCAGGATGCAGCCAGAGGGGCAGAGAGGAGGAGGAGGGCAGGGGTGGCAGAGCCAGGGGAGCTCGGCAGGGTCACCCCCTTGCTCTGTGGGGTGGTCCCAGCCTCACGGATCCTTCGGGGCCGGGGTGAAGGGCAACCCTCTCGCCGCCTCCCCGGTGTGTGCCCGCTGCCAGGCGCCGCGGCTCCCGCCCAAGGCAGGGCAGTCCCACGCGGAAGTCAGGGCGCTGCTGGGTGCACATGAGACCTCGGGGGACGGAGACGGGGCAGGACACCGTGCTCGGCCAGGAGCCCCGCCAGCCCCGCAGCCCGTCCCGCCGGCAGCTGCATCCCCCATCGCCGGCCCCACGGAGACCTGCCCGGGGCAGCCGGGGGGGCGAGGGAGGCTCCGCGCTTCACCATGCAGGTAGGCTCCCGCCCAAGGCAGGGCAGTCCCACGCGGAAGTCAGGGCGCTGCTGGGTGCACATGAGACCTCGGGGGACGGAGACGGGGCAGGACACCGTGCTCGGCCAGGAGCCCCGCCAGCCCCGCAGCCCGTCCCGCCGGCAGCTGCATCCCCCATCGCCGGCCCCACGGAGACCTGCCCGGGGCAGCCGAGGGAGCCGGGGGGGTGAGGGAGGCTCCGCGCTTCACCATGCAGGTAGGAGACAGAAACTGCCCACCTGCTCCCCAGAAGCTGCTTTTCAGCGCCTCTGGGCCACCTGCGGCTTGGGGACGGGGGTCACTCTGCGCTCTGATCTCTGCTGCTCACCTGCTTTCAGCCTCTAAACCCCTCGAAACACACCGCAAAGCTCCAGTCCCTCTTCCCAGCCAGCAATCTCCTGCTGGTGGTGGGGAGAGCGGGGTGCGCTGGGGGCTCTGCCCATCCTGAACTGGGAGCCCGGTAGAGCAGAGCCCAGGACCATCGGGCTGGGGGGGACATGCGTGGCCCCAGGGGTGGGTACCGGGGTTCAGAGGGGCCAGAGCACGGATCAGAGAGGGATGGTTTGGTTTAGAGCGAGACCAGGTCTTTCTCTTGTGTAAACCCACCACAAACAGCAGTGGAGGTGACAGCCCCAGGTCTTCCAGGAGTACCTGGAATAAAGCAAAGGGAGAGGGGAGCTGAGAAATATCATTTCTCCAGCTTGAAAGAGAAAAAAAAAAAAGAGTTTTCTTTTACTAAA